CGATGAGATGTGGATTCCTGGTGAAAACCGGTGCCAGCTTCTCCGTGATTGAACTGCAAAAAAATGTGGCAACATTTCTCTGAACTGAAGATGTTAGAGGAGCTGGCTGGATGTTTCCATCACAGATCCCTGAGAAGTTTACAGCAGTGATGTATAATCAGGGACTCGGCGGAATACATTAGAAACTTCAACCCTAGCAGCCGGCAACCCTCAGGAAGTAAAGGACTCTTTCACCTCCACGAGAACCATATTTACCTGACATGTTCCCATTGGGTACCACTATTTCGAGCAGCTAGATTAATCTCCCTGGGCGAGGATTATTCGATCCACCTAGCCCATGTAGAAACTTGGTTCAGCGAACTTAGCTGTAGATCAACAGAATTTTGTGTTGTACGATTAGATTCACACGCTGATCCTTGAGAGGAATCCGTGGTTTATAAGGGTTTTCATTTCAAGTGAAGGCTCACTTAGTGCTGGGATGCTCACTTGGGGCCAGAAACCTGCATTATTTCTTCGGACACCTAGTACTTTGTGCAGCAGTTTTTACGGTATCATTTGCAGAGCTGTGTTTTCCTACGAAGTAGGGGACCATTGTGAGACTCTAATATATCCGCAGTTGCTGTGACTGCCGTGGATGGCTCATTACGTCGCTAGTAGGTTCGTGTCCTTTTTGCAGCAACATTTTTTTCGACGTACGCCGAACGCATTTCTTCGTCGTACGCGCAACGCGTCAGTGGCCGCGTTGTTTCCCGTCGTTTGGATCCCCTCAAAGGTGGTCTGCCTCTGCGATGACCTCGATAGAGCTCGATTTTATAACGAATTCATGCAACTGTCTATAATATAGACCTTGTCAAAATTCCTTGCCAAAGAATTCCTACCGTCCTTTTGCGACTGCGTCTATTGCTTGAATGTGGGCTTTGGAATTCCGTGCAAAAGAGAAAATTTCAATGTAATAAACGGCTCTGTCATCTGTTACCTGTGTCGCTTAATCCGAGGATCGTCTTCAGTTTGCGAGCAAAGTACCCCGCAGGTCATTGAAAAAACAAACGGCCAATGAGCACGAGCGCGTTCATAAATGAAGTTCCCTCCTTACTTTTGCTCAAAGTTTAAATGCGAGAAGTTCCATCGCGTGCGATCTAACGTGCGTAATGTTGGTGGAGCCTAGGAGCAGCGTTATACTCGTATCCATTTCCTCTCTCTGATCTGATTTCCTCTCTATTCATTCTTCTTTCGCTCTCTGAATCATCGCATCGTTCGAACCCAACATTCACTGCTTTCCTACAATTAGTTCTAGTCCTTTGACATTATGATTTCCAGCGTCATCCCTTTACACATATTGCCTTTCAACCAGTCATCATGTGTAATGGGGAAGAATTATATCAGGGCGCGCCTTGCCGGTGGAGAACTTTTTTTGGCCAGTCTGTCGGATCTCCTACCACGTGAATCCCGCCTTTAACTTGAAATGCCAGCTTCACTTTCATCGTTACTCCGGAAGTTCTCCACCCTCCTACTTTGGAGGTACCTGCCTGCTACCCAAGTTCGTGAGAGAATGAAGCTGGACTGATTGGCTGGATACGATATGTTTTGGATTCCACCCGTTATCGGTACCGTGCAGCATTTGGGAGGTCGTTCAGGACGTGGCGCGCTTTTGAAAACGGTCTTTTTGCATGTTCTAGGGGCACGTGCATGGACTACTAAACTGACGTTCATTTTCGCTAAATGGCTGTGGCAATACCAAAAAAGGAGTGAATCACTCCTTTCTGTCACTCACTGTAAATCACTTGCATTTGACCTGTTGCTCTGAGTAGGGCCTTTATAAAGGGAACCAGTCGGAGCGCCCGGCTAACGCCAGCTCTCCTCCTTCCCTTAAGCCCGGCTTCGCCGGGCTCACCTGGCTTCACCAGGCGCACACCATAACGGGATGGAATTTCTCAAAGACACGTAGTACGCTCACACATTGAGGGTGTATGAGACTATCATCCCCCCAGCTGTCGATGTGTCATGGTCCCCCCGCCCAAACATGCCCAGGAATGGAGATACAGGACCGTGAAACACGCTAGTTCCTCCATGCTCCACCTTACACCTTTTGCGGCGCAGATTCCCGTCGTTCAGAACATCCGTTGCAAGCGCGCGTGTCGCGTACGGCTCCTTGGCACTTTGCCAAGTCCTTTAATTGCGTCTCAAATACGAGTAAAACGCAATTTCCTGATGCGGATAACATTGGAGGTGCTACAAAGTAAGAACAGAAGATGATGACAAGGGCCAGAACTCAAGAGCAACTCGGCTGCATCCGCAGAATCCATCAGAGGCCGCGCATTCCCAGAAAACATGAGAATAAAAACAATCCAAGCGTCCCACTCGTTTATTCTAAAGTATTTCTATGGCTTTGGCGTCGGGTTCGCGCCGGATCGTAGAAATTTACAGGCGATTTCAGCTAATTTTGTCTTTCCTTGATTTTTTCATTTTTGTTTTATTTACATTTACATCGTTGTGCTTCAGTTCCCTGTGTCATCTTCATCTCCTTGTACATGGATTTTGAAGTATGAGCAACACCTAAAATTTCATTCGCATCAGGAAATAGCGTTTTGCCTTATCAGACTAACGAGTATGCCGTTTTATTTTCATGTTTCGTGGACATACGCGGCCTCCGAGGGATTGCAGAAGTGGCACAGCTGCTCTTGAGTTCTTACCCTCTTCGTCATCTTCTGTTCTTATTTTGCAGCGCCTCCAATGTTATACGCATCAGGAAATTGCGTTTTACTTGTACTTGAAAGCGCAATTAAAGGACTTGGCAAAGTGCCGAGGAGCCGCACGCGACACGCGCTTGCAACGGATGTTATGAAGGACGGGAATCTGCGCCGCAAAAGGTGTAAGGCGGAGCATGGAAGAATTAGCGTGTTCACGGTCCTTTATCTCCATTCCTGGGCATGTTTGGGCGGGGGGACCACGACACATCGACAGCTGGGGGGCTGATAGTCTCATACACCCTCAATGTGTGTGAGCGTACTATGTGTCTTTAAATCGCGTTACTTTCGGACTGAACTGCTCACCGTTCCTGCTTCCTGAAACACTCAGTCAACACTTACAGACGATGGCAAAAGATAAGAAACTAGCAATGAGCATAGAAGGCAATATCCACGTCGACAAACTCATACTGACAGGATCTCCAACGAATGAAGCCTTGAAAATCTACAAAGACACAGAAAGGATGTTCACAGAGCTCCACATGAACTCACGACAATTGCAATCGAAGAACAGAACTTTGAAGAACGAAACTGCACTCCACCGGCCGATGCACCAGATGTGGCGAGAGTGTGCGGAAGTGTAGACGGCCGGCGGAGAAGACGAGATGAGAGAAGAGAAGTGTTGAACGACCGCCCCTTTCATGAGGCAGTCACGACGACCAATTATCGCTGTATTTGTCGTTGTCATAGTCTTCTCACAATCAGAAATAACACGGTCGGTCCGGTAAGGTTCGTAGAGGGATATTCTCTATACTCCGGGTTCTTGCAGGTTGTCGTCTGATTCGTCTCGTGATGCTTTTGCTGATGGTGATTTCGCTCTGTGCTGTTGATTATTGTTCCTTCTTGCAATCGGTGGTTCTTTCTTCGGTGGTTCATGATTTCAATGTCTTCTCTGTCTTCTGATTGTTGATTTTGCTTACAGTGAGTGCTCTGACGCGGTCTTGGATTGCAGTGCTCGTCTTGCTTTCGGTGGCTTTTGAGGCTGGTTGTTTCCCCGTGGTCGTTTCCAGTTGTTTCTGGAGCAGCTTCTTGGAGGTGTATCAACTGATGACTACGGATGATCACTTGCAGTGCCAATTTTCTTTCGACAGCTGTGAGATACCGCCTGTATATGATTTTCTGCACTTCTGGAGTTGTATCAGCGCTTCTTATGTTCCATGTGATCCCAAGGACTTTTACTTCTTCAGATTGGCACAGATCCTTCGGTGCAGTTTCGTTCTTCAAAGTCCTGTTCTTCGATGCAATTGTCGTGAGTTCATGTGGAGCTCTGTGAACATCCTCTGTGTGTCCTTGTAGATTTTCAAGGCTTCTTTCGTTGGAGATCCTGTCAGTATGAGTTTGTCGACGTGGATATTGCCTTCTATGCTCATTGCTAGTTTCTTATCTTTTGTCATCGTCTGTAAGTGTTGACTGAGTGTTTCAGGAAGCAGGAACGGTGAGCAGTTCAATCCGAAAGTAACGCGATTTAATTGATATTTGACGATGTTTTCTTGAGGGGCGGGTCATGGGTGCTTTAAATCCACATGAATCTGTTTGCGTTCTATCCGAAGGGTTTTGGTGAATTGCAGGAAGGCTTTTTCTACGTCGCTGATTATTGCTGTTTCTCCTACTCTAAAGCGAAGTAAGATGTCGCATACTTTGGAAGGATAACTGGACCTTGATTCAAGACGTCGTTGAGCGATGGACAATTCTTAAGGCGTGCAGATGCATCGAGTACAATCCTTAGTTTTGTAGTTGTCTTCTGAGGAGTAATGACTGCATGATGCGCTAAGTAGTGCACGGTATGTCCTTCAAGACTTCGCTCTTCACTCACTTCTTCGACTACTCCCTTTTCCAACTGGTTCATGATTGTCTCATGGTATTGTTGTAGTACGGCTTCATTTTTAGTTAAATGAATCAAGTTGGACTTAGGACGTCGATAAGCGAGCTGTTGTCGGGTAGTTGACTGACATTTGTTTTCCAAGGAAGGCGCACGTAGTAACCATTCTCTCGTTTCTCGATACTTTCTTCGAATGACTTCCAGATTGCTGCGCTTGTTAACCTTCGCTCTTCAGAAGAGGGTCCAGTGAATTCGGGAGTGCCTGCTCTTTCAAACTCGAAAAACTGTTCCCATGCTTGTTCTGGACTCGGCTGTGCTTGCGAGTCTTTATAGTCAGTTGCTCTGTGAGTGTTTTGAACAGATGTTCTCTTGACATCTCTTTGTTTTGTATCTCTTCGTCCTGATATGAGGTATCCCAGTTCAGAAAGGATCAACGTTAATCCAGACGGTAGTGTACAGTGTGTTCTCAATCCGGTATCAAGTAGGGAAAAGAGATCAGCACATCCAAGCAGAACGGTTGGTCGGACAGTCTTGATGGAGGGATCAATGGAAAGTTGCATGTCGTTTTCCAACAAGAATTCCTTACCCTCTTCGCTGAGTGTTGCGAGGTAGTGGCGCTGTGATCCAGCCAACACGGGTGACTGTAAAAGCATGCTGATTGCCTTCGAGGTCCCATAATTTCAATATCGTTATGCAACCGGTCATCGTAAATGGATTTTGTGAACCAAATGTGTTAATGTTCAGCTTCACCGTGTCAATGTCATCGAGTCGAAATCGGTGAGTCAAGTCACTGCTGATGAATGAGCGATCCGCCCCTGTGTCGAACATGATGTGGATATCGTCATATGCTCCTGTGAGAGGATTCAGAACTTGAGCCTGTCTGACGAGAATTTGGGTTTCTAGCTTGTCTTCTGTGTCGCTGGCATGTTGAGCGCTATGTAGAGCTGGTTTCAAGGGGTCAATAAGATTGGGCTTCGTCCTGATATGAGGTATACCAGTTTGGAAGGGATCAACGTTAATCCAGACGGTAGTGTACAGTTTGTTCTCAATCCGGTATCAAGTAGGGAAAAGAGATCAGCACATCCAAGCAGAACGGCTGGTCGGACAGTCTTGATGGAGGGATCAATGGAAAGTTGCATGTCGTTTTCCAACAAGAATTCCTTACCCTCTTCGCTGAGTGTTGCGAGGTAGTGGCGCTGTGATCCAGCCAACACGGGTGACTGTAAAAGCATGCTGATTGCCTTCGAGGTCCCATAATTTCAATATCGTTATGCAACCGGTCATCGTAAATGGATTTTGTGAACCAAATGTGTTAATGTTCAGCTTCACCGTGTCAATGTCATCGAGTCGAAATCGGTGAGTCAAGTCACTGCTGATGAATGAGCGATCCGCCCCTGTGTCGAACATGATGTGGATATCGTCATATGACTGCCTGTGAAAGGATTTAGAAGTTGAGCCTGTCTGACGAGAATTCGAGTTTCTAGCTTGTATTCTGTGTCGCTGGCATGCTGAGCGCTATGTAGAGCTGGTTTTAAGGGGTCAATAATCAATAAGATTGGGCTTCGTATATTGGTCGATGAGGGACGCTTGACCGGTTGAGGCTTCCTGGAGGTATCGGATGAGGTTTGTTTTTGGCGAAATTAGTCTTACCGTCTGGTTGTTTGGGAGGCTCAACTTTCTACAGATAGAAGTATGATGGCCCGTTTCTCTGCATATACTACAGGCTCCCCTGTGCAGGCTGAAGCTTTGTGATCCCTTCCGCCGCAGTTATGGCGGAGTTTTTGTTGCTCCATAATCTCGAGTCGCTTCTCCAATGTTGTGGCTTCGTTGCAGTCCCGTGATTTATGTCCACTTTTTCCGAAATGGAAGCAAGAGTTCTGACGAAACTGGCGAGGCGTAGTTTTGTGAGGGATCTCTGACATCGTCCGGGGTATCACTGGTAGTCCACTGTTTCATTTGGTGGGATATTCGGATCTCATCTTTGATGTATTCTTTCGCCGTTAACAGTAACGATTGGGTGTCCCATGTGCCGTCGGCCTTCTGTTTTGACTTTTGCCAGAGGATATATCTTTGGACGTCAGGTGAGAACTTGCCAAGTAGTTGTTTCTGTAGAAAAACGTTGTCAACGTGCTATTCCTTGATTCGCAGTTGAGAGGATGGAATCTAGTTTTTGGCAAAGAATTTCTGATCTTCTAATCGATTAGTTTGAGCCTGTATCGCTTGAAGATTGCAGTAGAGTCTTTCGATTAATGCTTCCTTGTCGTCGTATTTGGCTTGTATGCTATCACTAGGAGATAAGTGTGCTCTGAAATCTCGAATTGCTTTACTGACTCTCTGGCATTTGCTTAAATTCATCTAGGAAGTAATCGAGTTTGTAGAGGTCATGGATGTTTCTCGAGTGACCAGTATGTTCGGACGTTTTCCAAAATGTTTCCCATTCCCAGATTTCGCCACTGAATTTGGGAATGGGGATTGGAGCTAGCTTCATTTCTAGTACTTCAGTTGCACCAGATGTGGCGAGAGTGGGCGGGAGTGTAGATGGCCGGTGGAGAAGACGAGATGAGAGAAGAGAAGTGAAGTAGTTGATGACTGATTGTTCCAGCGAGCAGGAAAGGAGCGCAGTCAGTCCAAACGCGACGTGAGTGAATATATGACGATCTGTTCTCGAGTGGGTGGGTCATGGATGTTCTGAATCCACATAGATCTGGTTGCACTTCTATCCAGTGGGTGTAGGTGAACTTGCAGGAAGGCCTTCTCTACGTCGCTGATGATTGCTGTTTCTCCTATTCTTAAGCGATGTAAGTTGTCGCATATTCTCGGAAGGTTAATTGGACCTTGCCTCAAGACGTCGTTGAGCGATCGACATTTCTCAAGGTGTACAGATGGATCCAATACGATTCTGGGTTTGGAAGTCGTTTTCTGAGGAGTAATGACTGCATGATGCGCTGAGTAGTGCACAGCTTGTCTTTCAAGACTTTCAACAACAAATATAGTGATGTGTGATTGTTGTGATTGCCTTATAAATGGGGCGGTCGTACACAATAAATACTTCTCCTCTCTGATCTCGTCTTCTCCATCGGCCTTCTACACTCCCGCACACTCTCGCCACATTTGGTGCATCGGCCGGGAATACGGCCCTGGTGGCGTAACGGATAGCGCACTCGCCCGGAAAACGTGTGGTGCAGGTTCGACTCCCGCCTGGGGCACGACTTTTGCCCACAACTCAGCATTCTTGTGATAACTTTCGGAACGCTTATTGCGGCGTAAAACAGCAGTTATCAAACAAAAACAGCTTCAAAATGCAAATAATATCTGAATATTGCTACCAACATCTGCTGTGTATTTTTTGAGAGTTTAGTTTTTTAATTTATTTGCTATTGAAACTAATAATGTAATTATTAACAGAATTGCAATAGAGATGCAAAAAACATAGATAATAGGGCACAGTTAAAGAAAAGAGTTAGAATAGTTAGGCAGGGAGGGGAAATGATGAGGGGAGGGCCCGAAAATTATTTGAGAGGAAAGAGCAATGCGCCGCCATTATTGTAAGCCACTGGGCGGAAGGCCCCAGATAGCAACTTAGTAAGTCCGCCAAACCTCTCCCTAGGCCCGGCGAGATAGGGAAAGTTGAGAGAGGCAGAGGCGGGGAGGAGGGAGGACATATACTTAGTAGTAGACAGTTGCATACTGGAGCGTAGGGTGAAGAAATAAAGAGAAGAAAAAAAAACAGAAAAATCGACAACAATATGGCTGAATCCGGACGCTAAATAACCAGAAAAAAATTGCAGACCGAAAGCAGGGATACAGGCTATCGTGACTTGTGTTAAAGCATTACTGAGAGATCCAAAAGTGTATGGCGAATTGGAAGTAACTCATTTCCAAAATACACTGTAGGTGTTTGATATAGCTAGCTGGATGAACCTGAAATGTGCAAGAACGTCTCCATTTGGAAATTTGAGAATCAAGGCTATTCCGGAGGGACACTACTTTGACAGGGAATGAACCTTCGTAGGCCCGAGTTTTGGGACTGTCTGGTCGCAACTGATAGCAATGCCTTCTGAATAATCGAATAGTCGAGGACATCTCAAAAATGTTAATTTAAGATCATTCTCATTAGTGATAAGCTTAAAACAAACCCAAAATCGTCAGCTGGGTGTTGTTCATGATGAGGAAGTTATTTCGGATGACATCAAATCCGTTTCTTCATCGATATCAACTTCTTTTCAAAGTAAAAAAAGGAGGTTTTTTCGAGTAAAATGAGAGAGAATCTCAAACAAATTTTCGTGTTACTATTTATACTATTTCGTTGTACTATTTGAGTATTATCTGATTATTATTTGTGCATAATTTTTGAAATCTTTTCCGCCCAATTCCAATCAACGTCAAAAAGTACAAGGCTTCTTGCCCACCAAAAATTGCATGGTATCGCCTGTAGCACATGTGCTCCCGTTAATCACGAGTTCGTCCCTGCAAGAGTTGCACAGTGAACTCTCTCCATTCGAGGGACACGATGAACTTCATACCGTTCGTTCAGAGCTTTCACGAAGAACTCTGACCATCGATAGGCGGTCGTTCGGGCGTTCGCTTGACATACCGTGGAATCCAGTCGGTGATCGCTCTTGTCCAGCGGTCGTCCTTGGAACGCACGATGTGCCCGGCCCACCTGATCTTCGAAACCTTGGCAAATCCGGCGGCGCCTCTGATCTTCGATCGTCGGTGGAGTGCGGAGCTCCAGATTTCCTCTCTCAGTTGCGTGTAGCGGCGGGAAACTCCGATCATCGCCCTTTCGATGGCTCGTGGAATAACGCCAACCGCATGCTCATCCTTTTTTCGTAGAGTCCAAGTCTCTGAGGCGTACGTCAAGGCAGGAAGGACCACGGAATCGAAGAGGTGGGCACGGAGCTTGGCGTTCTTCGTCTTCTTCGCTACTCCCTCGATGTTCTTGAGGGCTCCTCAAACGGCTTGCATCCTTCTGCTCAGCTCTGGTGCTAAGTCATTCATCATATTGATTTCACGACCCAGTTACACATAGCTAGAGCATTCAGAAATGGTCGGTCCGTTGAGCGTGAATGGGGCATCAGAAAACAATCCGTTCCTCATGAACATCGTCTTCGTTAGACTCACGAGGGAGGTGTTTCAGGTCAAGGCGCGCTTTTTAGAAAAGGTTTGTTGCTTGTTGTAGGGGTCAATACAAGGGTCACAAAATGGGTTTCATTTTTGCTATGCGTTTCGGGGTAGGTCAAAAACTGAGTGACAAGGATTTGACAGGAATGGGCTGTTTTAACAATGTTAATGGGCTCCGTTCTGCTTGTGACTTCGGACATGCATAGTTTATGAGGTGGTCACTAATTAGGCCTCAAAATAGATTCGATTAAAGTCAAAATGTAAGTATCATGTGGTAACACACACTTGGAATGCACCGACGCAGGAGTGATGTTTTTGTCAGCGCTCCGCTGTCATGATTATTTGCTGGACTGGGAATCGGATGCGGCGTGAGCGGATAGCACTGATGGAGTTCTGCAGGATTTGGCAACGGACAAGATTGCCAGGACTCGGTTTGGATCCCCATTGCGGCAACAGTTTTGCATTTGTATCAATGCAACGAGACGTGAACATTTCCGGAAACAAGGTTCTCCACACAAGTGTGCTGGTTTGTAAGGTGTGATCCAGGAGAGGCCACCAGGACAACCTGGCCTTTTGCAGTGAGTGTACATCATTGTACTCGTTTTAACACAGTAAACTAGAAACTACCTGCAAAATTTGCGGAACGATTCTCTGAGCGGAGTTATGGAGGTTTTCCTTCACTGTTTTTCTTCGTGCGGGTGGGCTGGCACAGTGAATTGCACTTGTAGCGCGACACACAGCTTTCTCCGAGCGAAATAGATACCATATTCGTGTTCAGGTGGTCAAACAACCCCTAGAAACGCCACCTTGAGGAAATCTGAGATTCTCACTCAACTTCGTAAAAACGGGGTAGTGATGAGTGAAAAGTGGTCACGCCTGGATGATAGCCAATACTCCGACTAGCATACTGGTGATGACTGGTCTTTGCACTGAAATAACCCTTCAGTCATGTCTTTTCGCAAAGAACAATACCTGCTTGTCGTGCCGCCTGAATCATTTTCCTGATTACCGGTAGAAAATTCCATCCCAAGACCAGTAATCCATGGTGAGTGGGCCCCCGTTGCTGCTAACTGTCCATACAATGGCCCACATTTTCCAAGTTAGGTCGAAACGTCAGATTTGGCTAGAAATAGTCCCCAGGGGTAATCCAACCCACTGAACATAAATGTGATGGTATTTCATTGCAATAACCCTTCTGACATGAGCTATGAGGGGCAGGACAAGCACGCTTTCAGGCCACAATGTGGCCACAAGTATATGCCTTCATATGGCATATACTTGAC